GTACTTAATTGGATAAGAATTAATGCTGTATTGCTTACAATCGCTTCGTAAATAAGTCATTATTTCTCATAAAAAGTAAAGGATAAAAATGGTTATTGTGGGTTATCACTAAGAGATAGACATATACCATCCCGGACTTTTTTGTAGACCCTTTTAAGATGTACAATATTGTAGTACATTATTTTGATCTATCTCGTAGGGTTCAGCCAACGTTTGCAATATAAGCGCAATACGACATTACATTAGAAACCTCTAAAATTATCAGTGTTTTCCTACTATATTATGCATGTATTATACATACAAACTTTCCTCTAGAATCACTCTATTTTTTAAAAAAAATTGTGAACCGTGGCCACGAGGTCACGTTCAAGAAGTCGTGCGTGATCGTCAAAGACAGTTTCAGTGACGTAAAACTAGTCGCCGAACGCATCGGACACTTGTTCTTTCTTCGCGAAAGTGAACAACGCGCGCTGGCCGTTTCGTAGGCGAACGAGTCGAAGTCCGACGTATGTGGCACATTTGATTAGGCCACCTTAACGCGCTCGACTTGTTTCTACTGGCGAAAAGCTGGTACGTAAAGGGACTGACAATTAAGTCGATCGTCGGCAAGATCAAGTGCGACACCTATCTCCCTGCCAAAATATCGTGTGCCCCGTTCGGAACCCGAGAGAAACACTCCTCGGAGCTCCTCGAGCTGGTTCAGACTGATCTTTGTGAACCGATGCGAACACAGTCGATGAGAGGCGCAAGCTATTTTATAACGTTCATCAACGACTACTCCTTGGTCTGCATGGTCTACTTCCTCCAGAAGAAGAGCGACGCCGTGCAAAAGTTTTTGGATACCTGAAGAGCGGAAAGTTCGAGTGTCTCGGGATGTCAAGTTCCTAAACGAGTTCCGGCCTAGTCCATCCCGGAAGCAAAATGCTCCTCGAGAGCACGAGAAGCCGCCTCAGGATGTCGAAGAGCCAGTTAATCACATCTACAGGGATTATGTGTTGGACGCCAGTGTCACGAAGCTCCCGAATCATTTACCTCAAGTAATCGACAATCAAGTCAACGAGCCAGTTGACGAAATCGACGATGAGGATGTTTTAGAGCCCTTCTACGGATTTGAGAACGATCCAGGATAGGAAGTTGCCGAGTCCGACGGAGCAGGGGAAGCAGAGCAGCGGCCAACACCAGGAAGACAGGCAGCGAAAAGAGGACCAGGCAGACCCAAGACCGTAAGAGGGGTTGCCCATCAAAACAGTACCACGAGGCAGTCATCGCAGAGGAATCAGACGGCGAAAAGCACGCTCTCGCTCAGGGTCAAATTGAAGAAAACGACAGTCCGGACGAGAACTTAGATGACAACAGTGACCAACTCGAGGATGACGATGCTACTTACCAAGCTGACCAGTGCGTGGCGATGACAGCCATCGAGATTGCTCTAAACAACGCCTTGGAGGGAGAAGACAAGGACGAGTGGTTTGATGTCATCTATTCGGAAGCCAAGTGTCTGGTGGCGAATTATACCTGGGAGCTGGTGGACAGGTCTGCTAATCACAACGTGATTTCTTGCCGTATATTCTTATTCAACAAGTTCAACCCAGACGGAAGTCTGGATCGACGTAAGGCCAGAGTTGTTGTTCGCGGATTCGCCCAGCGGCTCGGTATCGACTTTACCGACACATTCGCGCAAGTGACGCGCCTGGATTCGCTCCGTTTCCTGTTGGCTTTGGCAGCCAAATTCAACCTCCAGATCTCCCAGCTACACATCACCACGGTGTACCTCAACGGTGATATGGACACCGACGTGTACATGGAGCCGCCGGTTCTATTGAGGGTATCGTTGGAGAGGATGATCGCCACCGAGAGAGACAGAACCTTGGTCGCAAAAGCTCAGCGCATGCTAAAAGCGTTGAAGTCAGGCGATAAGGTTTGTCTATTGGTTAAAGCCCTCTACGGGCGACAATGGCACACGAAAGTCAACGGTACATTCAAGGCAGTCGGGTTGGTACCGACGGAGTCCGATCCCTGCGTCTATGTTGATCATCATCCTAGAGGGTGTACCTGTATCCTGTTGTACGTAGATGACATCGTCATCGTCTCGAACAACCCGGAACGCGTCAACGAGATCAAAGGTCACCTGGCCGCGGAGTACCAGGTGAAGGACCTCGGTTGCATCAAGTACTGCTTGGGCATCGAGGTCAAGCAGGAGAAAAACAAGGTCTCCATCGGGAAGTCCTGGACAAGTTTGGGATGTCCAACTGCAAAGCCGTCAAGTCGCCGCTTGCCGCTGGCACAAAACTTGAGGCGAGCACCGGAGAAAACGAGGCAAAGTTTCCCTACCGCGAGCTCATCAGTGCGCTTATGTACCTTGCCATCGGGACACGCCCGGATATTACCTACGCGGTCAACATGCTGAGCCAGTTCAACTGCGCACACGACCAAGTTCACTGGCTCGCCGTGAACCGGGTATTGAGGTACCTGAAGGGCACCGTGGATCGGAAGCTGTTCTACACGCAGGACCGGAATGGTTTCATTGGACATGCGAACGCGGACTGGGGAAATTGCCCAATCGACCGAGTTTCATACTTGGGGTACTCATTTTCCCTGTCCGGAGCAGCTATCTCCTGGCATTCGCGCAAGCAGAGAATCGTCGCCCTGTCATCGACAGAAGCGGAGTACGTGAGCCTCTCCGAGGCCATGCGAGAAGCCATCCATCCACCTGCCGAACTTCGCCAAGGAGCTACGTCGGGAAAAGCTGTCGAAGATCACCGTCTACAATGACAACCAGTCAGCAGCAAAACTGGTGTACAACCCGGTCTTCCACGTGCACACCAAGCACGTGGACATCAAGTACCACTTTGTTCGGAAGGCAGTCCAAATTTATACACTCAGCGTGGAGTTTCTGCCGACAGAAGAAATGACGACCGATGTCCTGACAAAACCGCTGTCTGGAGTCAAGCTGGAGAATTGTTCTTACGGCCTAGGCTTGAAGGATTGCTGAGTCGTCGAGTCCCGTCTTTTAGATTAGTTATTCTGTTTTACGTTTTCAAAGTTTGTTTTTATTTGTCATTTGCAATTAGCCTTGTAATTGAGGGAAGTGTTAGGGATTCAATTCACGCGCCTAATTTCCTTTTCTTAAGTTGCATTCGCCATTTTCACCCCCACTTTTATATTCATTATAAGGCCTAACCGACGCCATTATTGTCAGTTTCTTTGTGTTTTTTGTATCGAACAGTCGTCCAAATAAACGAGTCTTTATTAAATTAAATTAATTGTGTTTCACTGCGTCTTAACCTCGCCAATAGTTCACATTATTTTTTTCCTTAATTTTATTTTTTAGGTTTCTTGTTTTTTATTATGTTAGCTCCTACTAATAATTTGTAACTCAAACGGATTCTTATTTTGCAAACCGACCATAGACAATACTCCTTGTGGATTTGTCGCTCTTCTGTAGTGTTAGAAGTTCGTACTAGTGTGTCGATTAAATTTTTGCATTTTGAATTCTGCAGCTGAGCGGACAGAATTCACATTTACTAAGTTTACCTCTAATCCAGTCGCTTCCTCGATAATATTACGGCTTAAAGTATCGACTCCAGCTCGATATTCAAGCTCGAAGTCGAACCATCTCACGATTCAGGGGACCAAGTCTCTTTTCATTAGGGTGTGACGTAATGAATTACAGTTGATAATTATTTTAAATTTTATACTAATAAGGTATATTCGAAACTTGGTCAGTGACAAAACCACCGCCATAGTTTCGAGCTCGTAGGAATGGTAGTTAGATTAACCTTTTGTTGTAGTTTTACTGAAATACTGAACAGGTTTAAGAACTCCTGAGATCTGCCGCTATAAGAGAATATTGCCTAAACCTATTTTGCTTGCATCACAATGGACATCCATTTCTACTTCCCGATTGTACATTGCTAGAACAAATCGCTCTACCAGTTTCTGTTTTAACTCATTGAAGGCATTAGATGACAACAGTGACCAACTCGAGGATGACGATGCTACTTACCAAGTTGACTAGTGCGTGGCGATGACAGCCATCGAGATTCCTCTAAACAACGCCCTGGAGGGAGAAGACAAGGACGAGTGGTTTGATGTCATCTATTCGGAAGCCAAGTGTCTGGTGGCGAATTATACCTGGGAGCTGGTGGACAGGCCTGCTAATCACAACGTGATTTCTTGCCGTATAGTCTTACTCAACAAGTTCAACCCAGACGGAAGTCTGGATCGACGTAAGGCCAGAGTTGTTGTTCGCGGATTCGCCCAGCGGCTCGGTATCGACTTTACCGATACATTCCCGCAAGTGTCGCGCCTGGATTCGCTCCGTTTCCTGTTGGCTTTGGCAGCCAAATTCAACCTCCAGATCACCCAGCTAGACATCACCACGGTGTACCTCAACGGTGATATGGACACCGACGTGTACTTGGAGCCGCCGGTTCTATTGAGGGTATCGTTGGAGAGGATGATCGCCACCGAGAGAGACAGAACCTTGGTCGCAAAAGCTCAGCGCATGCTAAAAGCGTTGAAGTCAGGCGATAAGGTTTGTCTATTGGTTAAAGCCCTCTACGGGCTACGCCAAGCTGGTCGACAATGGCACACGAAAGTCAGCGGTACATTCAAGGCAGTCGGGTTGGTACCGACGGAGTCCGATCCCTGCGTCTATGTTGATCATCATCCTGGAGGGTGTACCTGTATCCTGTTGTACGTAGATGACATCGTCATCGTCTCGAACAACCCGGAACGCGTCAACGAGATCAAAGGTCACCTGGCCGCGGAGTACCAGGTGAAGGACCTCGGTTGCATCAAGTACTGCTTGGGCATCGAGGTCAAGCAGGAGAAAAACAAGGTCTCCATCGGGAAGTCCTGGACAAGTTTGGGATGTCCAACTGCAAAGCCGTCAAGTCGCCGCTTGCCGTTGGCACAAAACTTGAGGCGAGCACCGGAGAAAACGAGGCAAAGTTTCCCTACCGCGAGCTCATCAGTGCGCTTATGTACCTTGCCATCGGGACACGCCCGGATATTACCTACGCGGTCAACATGCTGAGCCAGTTCAACTGCGCACACGACCAAGTTCACTGGCTCGCCGTGAACCGGGTATTGAGGTACCTGAAGGGCACCGTGGATCGGAAGCTGTTCTACACGCAGGACCGGAATGGTTTCATTGGACATGCGAACGCGGACTGGGGAAATTGCCCAATCGACCGAGTTTCATACTTGGGGTACTCATTTTCCCTGTCCGGAGCAGCTATCTCCTGGCATTCGCGCAAGCAGAGAATCGTCGCCCTGTCATCGACAGAAGCGGAGTACGTGAGCCTCTCCGAGGCCATGCGAGAAGCCATCCATCCACCTGCCGAACTTCGCCAAGGAGCTACGTCGGGAAAAGCTGTCGAAGATCACCGTCTACAATGACAACCAGTCAGCAGCAAAACTGGTGTACAACCCGGTCTTCCACGTGCACACCAAGCACGTGGACATCAAGTACCACTTTGTTCGGAAGGCAGTCCAAATTTATACACTCAGCGTGGAGTTTCTGCCGACAGAAGAAATGACGATCGATGTCCTGACAAAACCTCTGTCTGGAGTCAAGCTGGAGAATTGTTCTTACGGCCTAGGCTTGAAGGATTGCTGAGTCGTCGAGTCCCGTCTTTTAGATTAGTTATTCTGTTTTACGTTTTCAAAGTTTGTTTTTATTTGTCATTTGCAATTAGCCTTGTAATTGAGGGAAGTGTTAGGGATTCAATTCACGCGCCTAATTTCCTTTTCTTAAGTTGCATTCGCCATTTTCACCCCCACTTTTATATTCATTATAAGGCCTAACCGACGCCATTATTGTCAGTTTCTTTGTGTTTTTTGTATCGAACAGTCGTCCAAATAAACGAGTCTTTATTAAATTAAATTAATTGTGTTTCACTGCGTCTTAACCTCGCCAATAGTTCACATTATTTTTTTCCTTAATTTTATTTTTTAGGTTTCTTGTTTTTTATTATGTTAGCTCCTACTAATAATTTGTAACTCAAACGGATTCTTATTTTGCAAACCGACCATAGACAATACTCCTTGTGGATTTGTCGCTCTTCTGTAGTGTTAGAAGTTCGTACTAGTGTGTCGATTAAATTTTTGCATTTTGAATTCTGCAGCTGAGCGGACAGAATTCACATTTACTAAGTTTACCTCTAATCCAGTCGCTTCCTCGATAATATTACGGCTTAAAGTATCGACTCCAGCTCGATATTCAAGCTCGAAGTCGAACCATCTCACGATTCAGGGGACCAAGTCTCTTTTCATTAGGGTGTGACGTAATGAATTACAGTTGATAATTATTTTAAATTTTATACTAATAAGGTATATTCGAAACTTGGTCAGTGACAAAACCACCGCCATAGTTTCGAGCTCGTAGGAATGGTAGTTAGATTAACCTTTTGTTGTAGTTTTACTGAAATACTGAACAGGTTTAAGAACTCCTGAGATCTGCCGCTATAAGAGAATATTGCCTAAACCTATTTTGCTTGCATCACAATGGACATCCATTTCTACTTCCCGATTGTACATTGCTAGAACAAATCGCTCTACCAGTTTCTGTTTTAACTCATTGAAGGCATTAATTTCTCTTCACCCCAGTGGAAACTACAATCTTTTCTCGTTAAATTGGAAATAGGCTTGCTTAGCAAAATTCGTAATCAATTTTCTGAAATAACTAGTCCTAAAAACATTCTGACTGTATGGATATCTTTTGGTCTGGGAAAATCTGCGACTGCTTGTATTATATCAAAATCAGGTCGAACATCTTTCTGTTATTTTGTGGCCCAGATATTCAATCTTGGTCTGAAGAAAGCGACATTTATAAAGTTTTAAATCCATTCCTGCACTTCTAAAAATTTGTAGTACAGCCTCGAGTCGCTGCATTACTTCTTTAACCGATTTTGATAATAAGGACATCGTTAAGATATCAGTGCCGTACTAAAACGTAATAATTTATTGATTTATATATAAATACTCATGGTGACCGTCTGGGGTTACAAATGGTATTCTTGCCTGTAATTTGACATGTTCCTAACAATTCAATTTTGCAAGTAGTAGGCGGTCATAGTTTCGGCGGACTGTTTGGTTCGATTAAGCATTTTTCTAAATGCTTTAGCATAATCGAAATGACTTGGAAATGCTTTAGTGATCAATGCTTTCCATTATTGTTGTTGTATAGTTTGATACCATGTGCGTGCCGTACCAGTTAATCGCGACTGCATAAGATATATGGTTGTAATGTCGTCCCAATCATTAATGTTACGTAACTGGTCGATCTTCTCCAACCATTTAGCAGTTGTTAAATTGTCATTTTCTGGATAAAATTCGGTGATGCAATCATTACGTAAAGTGAGGCGACTGCTTTCTTCTGCGAGGTTGGAGCGTGACATTTGTGCTATGAGACTTTCCAGTCGCTCAATACGACTTTCATAAGCCGATATCAAGGATCTTGATGGCGATGATACATCAGGGCATCACTGTTATTGTTTTTATTTCTCTCACCTCCTCTATATTCTTGACGTCTTTCATCTGATGCTTCCTCGTTTAAGGGGTGTGACGTAACTCTTTCAGGGCGTCTGCCTCTTGATATTTTGCTCGTATAAGGTTGCTGAATTAGTTCGTCCATGATGTCTTTCCTTCGACCTTCCCTCGTAAGAGGTGGACGATAGACGAACGACGTAACTCGTCTATAACGTGCTTCATTTGATCTTCCCTCGTAATGGAACCCTTCGTGGCCGGATATAACTATAACTGTATAACTGTTGACTTTCTGTAACGTCCATCATCAGAAGATGAGGAATTATCCGAGCTACTGCTACTAGAACTAGACTTCCTTCGGTGCCGACTTCGTTTTTCCATTTTTTTACTTACGCAATTGAATCACACACCACACCGATTTGCAAAGCTATTGTTTTTGAGTTCACTCCACACCTGAACTGTAAACCGACACTAAATAAATTACATAAAGTTAAAACAAATTAAAAATAAAAGACAACCGCATCAAGTATTTTAATAGAAAAGTAATTACAATATCGAACAGAGTACAAACGTTATTATGCGTATTAATTAGAACGAAGTCTATTATATTAGTCTCAACCTAAAATTCAATAGGACCTGTTTTTCACCCTTCTTTTAGTTCGAAAGGCGTCTTCCGCGGGTACATAACTCAAACGATCTTTCCAACTAGAGGGTACTTGACACCGCTCATAAAATTGTAATAGTTTACACTCAATACTTACCCACTACATAATAATTTATGCCACGTAATATATTTGTAGACGCTACATATAATGGGAATACTGAAAACCATCGATATCCATAAAAACATTTTTTTTTTTTTACACAATTATTTCTCACCAAAACAAATCTTTTTTATTATTTTTTTTCTTAATTGCACCTTCCATGTATATATTCCACGTTAAGACTATATTCCTAGACTATGTTAAAACAGCTTGCTGTCGCCCATAGAAATACCACCACCGTTCCCCGCCTCATAGACCTTCTGCTAATTCGGAAGTTTTACCATAATTACATACAATATTTAATTTTTCCTTGATTTTAATAATACGCGGGCGCTATTGGTGAATCATGGATATGATAGTATTGCCATGATTGCCATAGACATATATTAATGGACGTGCCTTAGCCCTATGTCGTAATAATTTCTTGGCTCGAAAAGTGAGGGAGATAACGTATGATTTCAGACTAATGCTTTCTCTTTCATGACTCGCTTACGCACTATCGTGAGAGAGATGGATATTGTCCGAAACATCGTTCCATTTCTTTCTTATGTTTTTCACTTTTTTCCTGTACAAGCAGCTCAAAAAGTTTTTCTTCTTAACGACAAAGTCTTGCTATATGGGAGGAGAGAAGCCTGCGTCAACCAACTTTATAGAAGTTATATGACCGCTAGATATAAACACAATCCCCTACACATCGACGTTTACTAATGGACATGCCTTAGCGGTCAGAATTGTGGTACAACAAAAGAATGAGATGGAACGAAGTTTCGGGCAATATCCATCTCTCTCATGATAGTACCTACTCGTGTCATGAAAGAGATAGCACTAGTCCGAAACTATACGTCATTTCCCTCACTTTTCCAGCCAAGAAATTATTACAACGATATACGGGTAAGGCACGTCCATTAATATATGTCTATGCTCGTGCACACATGCCACATGTCTGTTATTCTGTGAGCATAAATGTTAGACATATGTTAGAAACTGAAAACTATATATAGCCGAAATCAAATTCTAGTTACGCTTTGTGTATCTATTATCTATAGTAGTAGTGTTTCATCAATGTCAACAGTCCTAGTCTAGGAATGTCAATGAATGTGCTTCAAATAACTACTCAGTTAATGTTATATTTAAATCATCTTGAAAGAAAAGGAAATTACAATGTGTATACCATCAGAAAAGCTACCTCCTTGTTGGAACGACGAGACTAGGATGAATGTTCTCTTTGCCCCGTTTAGAAGTCGCAATGCTAATCCACAGGACTGGGATTCTAAACTTGCTTTCTGGAGAAATATGATAGAATTATATTGTAAAGAATCAAAGTGTTACAAGTTTACACTGCCTGATTTACTAAAGGTGTTTAATAGAAATGGGAGAAGTCCAGGCTGCTTAGAAGTTGTAATCAATGAAATGTTTAAATTGAATGAAATAAAATCAGTCAGTGAATATCTAGAAGAAACTCCCTCTAAAAGTTGGACAGGATGGGCAACGCAGGTATTAGTTAAGAAGCCTATTAAATGGACATTTCATACAGTAAAAAATTCATTTGTTGAAAGAGATAAAAATCAAGAATATGTTCATGTGTGTTCGGTAGATATTGCTTCAAAAATTGTTCTTAAAAGTTTGCCTGAAAACTGTAAAGGTAAAGTTATTGACATGCATCATTTATTGGAGGTTCTTGAATGGCCAATAGAAAAAGCTAATGGTTTGCAGCTTGTGTTGCATAAACTAGTATGCGAAGAAAAAGCTGACATTAAAGAAGTTGGCTTTAGTGAAGAGCCTGAAAAAGCTCTTACATTGAAGTTAATTAAAATAAATACAAAAACAGTTAAGCCTATTTCAGATGTAGATGTTAGTATCCATATTTTAGAAGAAAATGAAAAGATTTTAACAAAGAATATTGAAAAACAAGAAGCTGAAGTAAATAGAATAAGAGAACAGGCTAAAAATTGTCTTAAAACAGGTCATAGACAGATGGTAAATCTAAATTTTTAATTTTATTTATTACTTAACGATTTTTAGGGTTTTGTAGCCAACTAGCCAATAGTTTTGGTCTATTTGTCAATCTATCTCTGTCACAGCCAACCCATCCTTTCGTTTGTATAGACCTAAAAATAAAAAAGATGGTATTTTTGGAAAGTAATCATCCCATACAGTGACAAGTGTATCTAATTTTTTCATGTACCTTGACTGGGAAGTTTTTAGATGTCTTCTCAAATACATCTAAAAATGTTTTAGGACCTCTTGGTTTTAATTCTTCACCCACTTAAAGTTGTTATCAAAGTATGGTACAGATTTAAATTTCTAAAATATCTGGAACATCTGGAAAAGAAAGTCAAAAAAAGTAGCCTTTAGTCAGTACTTTCAATGAAAATTTTAATAAACACTGAAGCAAAGATAGCTTTCGAAGAATTGTGAAACAACTTATTATTTTTAAAGGTTATTTCAAAATTGGAAATAATATTGGAGGTGGGTTTTGATGGGTATTTTTAGTTAAAACTATTTTGAATATATTGTATTACTCCTTTATTAATTTGGTAGAAATTGGTAAATGGCTACAGAACTCTATCATGTGTATCTCTAATAACACTCTCTTGATTTATTGTCTTACTCTTTCAGGCTAAAAGTTTGCTAATAAAAAAAAAAGAACTGGAAAAACAACTAACTAAAAAGTGTAATGCACTTCAGAATGTTCATGTACTTTTATCTAAGGTTAAAGATGTCGAAGATGATGCAGAAATTTTGTCTTCATACAAACTAGCTTTGACAAGTTTACAAAATACATTTAAGAAAACTGGCCTTACAGAAGATGGTGTAGCAGATACGATGCTCTCATTGGGAGATGTAAATTTATATTTATATTTATATATATAT